CCTGTATATTGCGGTCCCTTAAGAAATCGTCCAAAAGTTTCTTGAATAATTCCACATTATTTGCTGAAATCACCGCCTGTGGCAGTGAGTTCCAGACCCTAACTGATCTTACTGTGAAGAACCCCCTTCGCCCCTTGTGCTGGATAGTTACATAGTATTTGAGGTTGAGTAAAGACATTAGTCCATTGTTTAGGTGTTTCGAGAGCCAGTGTGGCCGACTAGCAAGATACTGGAGCTTGGCCCAGTGGGAGATTCCTCCATACACACAGTTTAGCGTAGATGGAGGAATCTGTTGCACATTTCCATCTGACCCTAGAAATTCTGCAGATAATCTATAGGTGTATAGCCAGCTTAAGAGCGAATCAACCTTCTGACTTCAGAAGAGTCGCGGTGCTTGCCGGAACGCATTTGCTCATTGATTGTCTGGAATTGCCCTTAAATGTCATTCTAATTATGGTCCTTTTGTTTTGGAATCCCTGTTGGTTGATTATCCAATAAACAGTCAATACATGCCTCGGGCATACAGTCCTCAGACAGGTCAATGATTGGGCTCCTCTGCGCTTGGGCCTCTAGCGTCTTGACATTTTATTTCAGTACACAATTCCATCAGTTACACTAACATAGTAATATAGAAAGAACACGGTCTTGTACGAAAACCAAGTCAGGATTGCCTTGTTATGGATTCCTGTATGCTCTAAAACTGGGGACAGACATTTAGTTTTATTGACCCCCATGCTGTACATCAGTGTCTTCAGTGATTTTTTTTTTTTTTTAGGTTGTGATCTACAATACATGATTGGAGGCGCAAATGTTCATCCGCAGCACTATGTGGGGGGTTTCTAATAGATGCATCAGCCACATAAAATGCATGCTGCTATTGCATGTTATTTAATTCCAGGCAAAAACCTTTTTCTGCTTGTGTCAGTACATTGCTTTTCCCAGAATTCTGCAGAGCTGGAAGCAAAACTAGGAAGTCCTTGCAGGAGAAGAATTCCAAACACTTTTTGGGGCATACGATCGCAAGTGGTTGCCACACAAGAAAATCGACCAGCAACGAGTTGGATTGACCACATGAGTTTAGTGTCCAATTTATAGCCCAGTTCCATCATTCAAATCTAAGAGTTAAACCCTAAGGCCCGGTTCACACCTGTACGTTTTGTAGCGCGTTCAAGGCTCTACAAAATGCTCCAACATGAAAATCCCATTGTTTTCTATGGGTATGGTTCACACCTTGCCATATTTCAGCCCGTCTGAACGCGCTACAAAACGGCCTACGCCTGAAAAGGTACATGAGCTTCTTTGCAGCGTTTTTGTCGCGAGTTTCCATTGGGATACAGCCAAGTAGCCCTCGGAAACGCGTTTTTAAACCGCGAATCGCGGTAAAAACACGCGTCACAAAACGCACCTAGTCGATACGCCTAGGTGTGAACAGAGCCTAAAAATACATTCAGGTACCTTTTTAACTATTAACAAAAATGTAACTTATTTGTGTATCACTCGGCTGTAGATCCTCAAATCATCTCTGAATTGGTGCTGACACTGTCCTTCCTTCTGGAGGGTGGCTACTTTTGTTCCCCATGGTCCCTGTGTGTATTGTAAAGTAGTCACCACTCCAAGCTCACTCCCGTGATGGACTACAATCTCAATACAAATCAGTAAACTAAACATGAGATTGTAGTCCATCCTGAGGGGTGAGTTTGGAGCGGTGACTACTTTACAACACACACAGGGACCATGGGGAACACAAGTAGCCCCCCTCCAGAAGGAAGGACAGTGTCAGCACCAATTCAGAGATGATTTGAGGATCTACAGCCGAGTGATACACAAATAAGAGACATTTTGTTAGTAGTTCAGGTACTTGAATGTATTTTTAGTTTAATGCCTGAGTTTAGTGTCACTTTACAGATTGGAAGGAGGGAAGAACAAACAAAAAACCTGGGGGGATGCAGAATGGATATAATAAGCGCTCAATTCTGCCCAGCTGAGGGAGAACGGACATTTCATACATGACCGAGCAAAATGTCTCGAGGAGGCGACACTGCACAAAACAGATGACAAATTAAAAATGAAGACAATAAAGCCGGTTATTAGAAAAGTCTTTATTAAGCATCAATTTAAAAAATATCATCCCTGATTAAAGCTCATTAAGGCACATAGAAAAATCCCTTTAAGGAGAAGACACTGCATTGTATAAGAAATCTCAAAAGGTGCGGGGAATGTGAAAGGAGGTTTCCATACTTCAAAAGACATATGTAAGGAGCTGTAGGGGGGGCATGGCCTGAAGTCCCCAAGTTCAAGTCAAATGAAGATGGACATAGAAAATATTCCGTTCACAACCCAATCCAAAAATTTACACTTCGTTTTTAACACATTAAAGACAAAGAAAAATACAAAAAAGGTTATTGAATATGACGGTGGAACAGATATACTGCAATCCAACTATCACAGGTTAAATCACACTTGTGCATAGACATTAGTAATTGCTCAGAAAATGTAGGAAAAAGCTGAACTTTCAGGTTGTTTTTTTTTGAGTGAAGAAGTGTTGGATATATAGGTTTCTGCTGCCATCAGAGTCCTTGTCTGGATCATTTCCCCTCACTTCCTGCCCTGGTGACCCCAGTGGCATGGAGCTGAAGATCCGGCTTTTCGTCACTGGTTAACTAGTCACCGACTTGCTATATAAAAAGGACACATTCCCAACATGAAGCACTAAAAACTCCGCTTACAATACCCGGGAGTCATCAGGACAGGAAGTGGGGCTACCAACACTTTTACCTCAGTGCCAGGAAACATTGAATCAATGGGCTGTAAAGGAGAGAGCTGCCAATAAGGTTACTGCTAAATATATAAATTGCGGCACATTGCCAAGGCCGAGCAGAAAACTACCGCAGGATCGTTCATTATCCGATTTCACAATGCTGCTTGGGGTGTGCTGAATGCAGAACCCCATTCACAGCTCACTTTTTTTTTTTAACCAAGGACCTGAGTGTTTAAGGCATCCCGCTCCTTTCCTAGAACTAAACTTACATCTGGCCGCAGTTTCTGTAATCACATTAAATACAACTCACCATTGCATAATCTGTGTACAGGAACTCTGCTCCAAACCTGTCCCCCAAAGACCAAATATCCATTCAATGGATGCCACCATCTTGTCTCACACAGCAGAGACATTGTTATCACGGCCTGTACATGGAAGACAGGTTTGTCCTTCCTGTGACAGTCATGTGTCCCTGCACGCTGAATATGCTTATAGTCCAGGGGGGAGAAGTTGAAGATTAGGGTTCAGCTGTTGACTTTTGACGAGGTTGTTATTCTTATATCTATAGTTTGAGTCAATGACTTGGTTTAGAAAAAGAGGGTTGGTGTTTAAAACATGTGATGGATCACATTGTGTGCGTGTGACCTGGAAAGGTTCACATTCAGCTTTTTGTATATTTTAGGTGTGTTTTCTATATTCAGAAGTGCATAAGGGCTCAAGCAACAGACAGCTAAGGACTAGGAAACAGGAAAGGGAAGATTGTCCAAGAGCTAAGCAAAGAATCTGATTTTCTAAAGAAACTACTTTCCCATCAGCTTCCAAAAACCCTTCACCTAGAGCAACACACGGGGCTACTGCGGAAAAGCTTCTTGGAATCTGATTGCTTGATATGGGCTTCATACAGATGCCAATAACTACAGCCCATTTGGAGCTGCATCCTCACTGGACAGAGCTCACGCCTAGCATGGACTTGGAGGGTTAAGCTTTATGGTGTAGATCAGGTGAAGGCAAACACTGGCCCTCCAGCTGTGGTGCAACTATAAGTCCCACTAGGCATTGCAAGACTTGACAGCCACAGACATGACTGCCAGAAGCATGATGGATTTGTAGTGTCACCACAGCTGGAGGGGCGGAGTTTGCCTACCACAGATGTACACATCAGCAATCTGGATTGTCAGCATTCGTCCAATTCACATTACAAAGGAAGCCTGCGGTCAGAGTTACATTAGACAAGGCCAGCATATTTCACCGGCAGGATCACTGCAGAACAAAACGGATGCTGCTGCAGCAAAGTGGATTTCAGTTATATGCAACGGTGATAAGCTTTCAAACTGCCATCAAAGTCTTTTAGGCCTCATTCACACAGCATAGGGTCGGGCCATACAGATCTGTGTGGCATGCACAGCCGTATTGTGCCGTTCCCGGGAGCGACAGGTGCTGCGTGTGATTGCACACAGCAGCCTGTTCTTCCCTATGGGAGGACACCGCTGTACGCACAGCCCCGAGTGTGGGTTTCTGTACTCTGACGTAGACAGGACTGATCCTGTTTGTGCACGAGCGCGGACAACCACACCCGCTCAGATGTGTGTATGACAGCGTACAGCTACGTCCTCCCAAAGGAAAGAACAGGCTGCTGCACGCAATCACGTGCAGCACCTGTCACTCCCGGGAATGGCCCGATAGAGCTGTGCATGCCACACAGCCCGACTTTACGCTGTGTGAATGAGGCCTTAAAGAGAACCTGTAGTCGGTTTTAAACATAAAAGCCCTGCCTGGCGATAGAGCTACATTGGCGATTAAGTCTCCTTTCAATAGAGCGATTTAATGACTTGTTGGCAGTTGCCTTATGTGCAGCAAACTGAAATCAATGTGATGCCAATGAGAGAACGGCCACCAGTTAAATCTCACTGTAGCAAGAGATTTACATTGCCAATGTAGCCCCAGGCCAAGAGCAACCACCACATGCTGACTGCTGTTTAATAGCAAAAAGATGGTTTTGATTAATTTTCCCTTTTCCCGATGACATAGCCAAGTCCGAACTGCCATTCCGCTGTCCAGTGACAATGCCTCAGGGGTCAGTAAAGGCAATCTCATCAGAATGAGGAGGGCAGCTGGTGGAGCTTGGCTATGAAGTCAGAAAAAGTCAGACCTAGTAGAGAAAACTAAAAAATCAGAGAGGTGAACAGAAGAGGCTTTTCTTGCTAATAAAGGGAATACATGCATCGTGTGGGCTCTCGTGACTTAAAATAGAATACGGTTCACTTAAGACATTGCAGATTGTTACAGTTTACGAATAGGAGTTGCTGACACTGCTATACTTTCAATTGCACATTCATTTGTTCCTCTGCGGATTTTAAAGAACCCCTTCTCTCCCCAGCTCTCCCCCCAGCTGTTCTTCACGATCCAGTACTTCTCTCCGGTTGAGGAATCTTTGCCATACCCAACCAGCAGGACAGCGTGGTTGGTCAGCTGGAAGGGGTTGAATTTATCCTGAAGTCCAGTGTGGTGGTAGATCCCTCCACTGTAGTGCATGAAGTCATCGTAGACTTCGAAAGCTACAGCCAAAGGTCCTCCGAGAATCAGCTCATATTTCATGTATGCCTCATTGCAGCCACCGTAGAAGCCTCCGACGTAGTGGTACTCTGCTGTGTAATAACGATAGGAGTCACCTTTCAAAGTGCACGGCGTATCACCGGCGGTGTAAGGGAAGTCAGCCTCTTCTACAATGCCAAAGTCCTGAGCGTATTTCCCAGCAATAAGATAAGGGAAGCCTCCATCGCAACCTGAAAATACAGAGGTTTTCTTAATAGGCAACAGTCTCGCTTGGATATATGAATAAAGTAAATGAAACATTCTTTGCTGGAGAAACTGCTTTTCAATATTCTGCATAGAGCAGAGAACATGATCATATGCATAGACCAGGGATGTCCAAACTGCGGCCCTCCAGCTGTGGTGGAACTACGAATCCCATGAGGCTTTGCAAGATTCTCACAGCCACAGACATGACTCCCGGAGAGAGATGCTTCAGAAGCATAAGGCACTCTGATCCTCCCCTTCAAGGATCACATGAGTAAGTGCCTAGGATTTTATTTAAGTCACCAGCATTGGAGGGAGTCGTGAGCAGTAGATCCTAAAAAGCCATTTCAAACCTTTTATTAGTCAGTCTGTCTATCCCAGCAAAGCTGTTCACAAAGTTTTATAGAACATTTTTGACCACAGATCATGTACGTAGCGTAATATGTAAGCTGCCATTGCCGACCTTCTAAAGTGCTGATTCAATTGCTGTTGTAAGTTTGAGTTAGTGACTCAAAAGATGAATGCAGCAGATAAAGTTCCATCTTATCTGCACACTCTTTCCCCATGTCAGTGTACTGAAGCCTCGAACAGAATAGGAGTAAACCGATCTCTCAGTACAGGTTCCCTTTAAAGTGATAAACTCAAGAGTTAAAATCTTAAAAATACATTCCCCCCTCCCTGGCTGTCACATTTAAAGATCTAATGCTGAACTGGTCATAAAGTGACGCTAAACGTTAAAAACACAATCAAGTCCCCAAACGTTTACCAAAAATGTATCTTTATTTGTGTATCACTCGGCTGTAGATCCTCCAATCATCTCTGAATTGGTGCCGACACTGTCCTTCCTTCTGGAGGGTGACTACTTTTGTTCCCCATGGTCCCTGTGTGTGTTGTAAAGTAGTCACCGCTCCAAGCTCACTCCCGTGATGGACTACAATCTCAATACAAATGAGTAAACTAAACATGAGAATGTAGTCCATCACAGGAATGAGCTTGGAGCAGTGACTACTTTACAACACACAGGGACCATGGGGAACAAAAGTAGCCCCCCTCCAGAAGGAAGTACAGTGTCAGCACCAATTCAGAGATGATTTGAGGATCTACAGCCGAGTGATACACAAATAGGATACATTTTTGATAATGGTTCAGGTACTTGAATTTGTTTTTAACGTTTAACTCGAGTTTAGTGTCACTTTAATGACCAGTTCAGCATTAGATCTGTAAATGCGACAGCCAGGGAGGGGGACCCCCCAACCACACAAAATAAAGTACAACAACATACACTTGCTCACAAATTGCTTCCTCTAAAAACAGAGAAGTTGCTTTACTGCATAGACCCGAGGGACAATTTTCAGATCGTCAACTTCCTCATCTGCACTGAAAGTAATTTGAATCTGTTCATATCCTCATTCCCATCCGATAGCACTCAGGCCACTCAGTGCTGCATTGTGGCTGGGGAGTGTCACGTGTTGCCCCTATGCCCAGGAGCACTAGGAATTTTTCCTGGCTCTGGATCAGTGTGGCCGGGTAATACCTGAAAGTCTTCTTAGGTGTTCCTGTTACTTTGGACAATATAGGCAACTTACAGCTTCCCTTTAAGAAACCACTATAAAGAATGGAACTGCCTGTACGATCCAGATGTCACCTGCCACCCTTCCTATGCATGGGGAAACATCCAAATTAGAAAATCAGTCTTGTTCTTGGCCATGTCCATCATGGCAAGATATTCCCCTCACTTCCTGCGTGGTTACCGGGACAGGAAATGGAGAGAATCTCCCCAATGAGGACACATTGTGATAAAACCAGTCAGAGGTTCCAGCCCTTTCCTACGGCATCAAAAATGAATAAGTCTTAATTGGCAATGAACTCCAGGCTTTCCTTTAAGTCACAGAGAGAAGAGGAAAGGGGTTACCTTGAGAGTAATTACTGCAGGAAACCACTTGCTGGGGGCTGAGGATAGGAGTCTGCTGAAGTCTGCTCATGACACGGATTCTAGATTCCAACATTCCCATCGTAGCGAAGGAGTAACAGCTTCCGCAGGACCCTGGAGACAACACACAAGATCATTATAATCCTCCAGGGTATCCACATCATTTAAAAACATTCATTGGCAGAGAAGGAAACACAATGCAGGCACAGGGTAAAGAGTGAAATTATTGCATTTACCGATTAACATGCATGTAAACCCCAACAATGAACTTATTTGCTTCATTATGGTCTGTTAAATTTACCATTGAAAGTGGTTGGTTAGATCTATTTGACAAGAAAAAAAAAAAAACCTGTTGATGCCGTCGCATAACCAGTGCTGTCCTGTGTACACAGATTCCTCCATCTACGCTAAACTGTGTGTATAGAGGAATCTCCCGCTGGGCCCAGCTTCAGTATGTTGCTAATCGGCCCCGCTGGCTCTCCAAAACACCTGAACAATCTGATTGGATGCAGGCATTGTTCAATTATTTTGAGAGCCAGCGGGGCTGACTAGCACTTTTCCCATTTGAACATACAAAATCTGCAGAAAATCTATACTTTAAGCATGAGCATTTAAGAGCAAAAGTAGAGTTCCAACCAGAGAACGAAAGGGAAGAAAATCAGATATCTGTTAAAGTGGCCGCTAAATATAGTAGCTACCAGGTATAAGTAGCAGGCACATACCTGCAGCAGCTTTTATTGTCCCCTGTACACCCCAAAGACAGGTCACTCTAGTAGTGGCAGAGCTTGGCCGCCCCCTCCCACACAATTTGCCTGTGAGGCAGCACTATATAGTGTGGGTGGGCAGAAAAGGGGAACAGGCAAGTTCCAATACCATCCAGAAGTGTCAGAGCATTTCCTATTGAAAACAGGGCAATAAAAGCTGCTGCAGGTATGTGCGGGCACCTCTAGGAGTACTATGGAAGGCCAGGGCAGTATACATGTGCCTTTTGTCCTTTACCAAAAGTGCCAGGATTTTAGAGCTGTAGCATGATAATGGCAGCAGAAAGGAGCAGGAAAGGCCACCAGAGAGGGTCTTCTATGCAGGCCGGTTTAGTTTCATGTAAAGTATGGGCTGTGTTCAGTTGGAAAGGTCATCTTGCTGGCAGCCATGCCTGCTTGCATACAGCTTGTCTCAAGTTGTTTTTTGAACCATGCAAGGTCTAAACGACTTGGAAATGTGAATAAAGACAAACAAGGCTTCAAGCAAAAATCGAAAGCTTTCCAACCAGGACAATGAACCTGTTCAGCACAACACTACACAAATAAAAAAAATGAAACTATCCTCTAATAACAAAATCAGGAATGCAGAAAAGTATCCGAGACATGTTTAAAAGGGCAATGCAGCCAAAGCATTAAAAATGCATGTATTTGTACTAGACCTACCCCTCCTGCTCTGTTATAGGCTGAACAGGAGGTGGCTACATTACATAATTACACTGGTAACACCTATCCCGGGTTGAATTCCTGTAAGAAACCTAAATATTCCTTCCACCAATCAGTGTGCACAGCAAGCATGCCCACTGCAAGTCCAATCTCAACTTTCCATCTACAAAGATAAACATGTACACTAGCTAAAGTGAAAGACTATTCAGGGACTTGATGGAATTCAGGATGTGAATGTGTGATTTTATATATGTGGCTCTTTTATTAAAGTGTATACACCGCCGATCAGCCACAACACTATGACCACCTGCCCAATATGGAGTAGGTCCCCCTTTCCCTGTCAAAATCAAGGCATGGACTCCACTAGACCTCTGAAGGTATGCTGTGGTATCTGGCACCAAGCCATCAGGATCTGACTTGTGGAGGCCAAGTCAACAACTCAAACTCGTTGTGTTTCTCAAACCAATTCTTGCAAAAACCATTTTTGCAGTTTTGGAGTTTTGGAGTTTTTCTTACCCAGTCTTCTCGCCATCACAAGTTGGCCCTTGTCAAAGTCACTCAAATCCTTACACTTGCCCATTTTTTCCGCTTCCAACACATCAACTTCAGGGACTAACCTGGGTTATTCACTAAAGGGTGAAGAGTTTGGAGAAGGCAGGAGAAGTGAACAATCTAGGACAACATATGAACTGGAAAATGTTTCCAAATCAGCGATGTTGTCCTAGATTGTCACTTCTCCTGCCTTCTCCAAACTCTTCACCCTTTTGTGAATAACCCAGATAATGTTACTTTGTGCCCAATAAATCCCACCCACTTCCAGGTGCCATTGTAATGAGATAAAGGTTATTCACTTCACCTCTCTGGTCATAATGTTATGGCTGATCGGTGTATAAATTACTGATAAGAGTGCACCTTTGCATTTCCTCAAGTCCATTTTTTGTGCCCAAGCAGGACTCTGGCTGTATAAATAGCAATTAAGCCCAACGCCATAATCCAATTGTCTAAACCCCAACCTGTGTGGCTAGTAAAGGCTCAGGCACTTGACAGATGAATAATGGGGCAAGGCTTAATTAATACTAGGAGGCCAACTGAGTTCAATCCAGGTCCTTCAAAATGATCCACTCTAAAAAAGGTACAAAACACTCTTAGGCTTCTCTTTAGACTTATAAATTAAGTTACTTGACAGTTAAAATCAACTTTTTGCCAAAGATTAATGAGAGACGTTCAGGATCAGAGTATTTAAGGATTAATTGGAGTAGGTCATGTTTAAAGGTCTGTTCATCTCAAGACAAGTTGAGATATCATGTGCAGCCTGGACCCAATTCTACATCTCAGACACCGCATTGGGGTTTAATGTTAATTAACACACTTTATAATGCCCTTAGACTTCAGTTTTCTAAAAACTGCTTCGGCTGAATTTTGTTGGATGCACAGAGCAAAAAGTAGTTAAAAGTTATGATTAGGGGATGTCCAGATTCAGGTACTAGTATTGGTATTGGGCCAATACACGGCATTTTCATGAGTACTTTTATGTGAAAATGCCCCGGTGCTAAAGACTGAAACCAGCCCTTTAAATTTAAACAAGAGCGGCTGCCTGAGGTCCCACACTTGCTGGGGAACACAGGCAGCCTGCTGGGGAGCACGCAGCAGCTTTGACGGCGCTGGTCCAGCCCCACATCTCCTCCTCCTTCCTGGCGCCCGCAGAGACCACCACCTGCCTGTACAGCCCTGGTGAGTAGTGCTCTATTGCCATATTCCATTGCGGAATAATCATGGATTGCGGAAATTTGTAGTCCTTTATAGCTCATTGCCATTCTCCATTGCTGTATAATCATAGATTGATGGGATCTGTAGTCTTCTATAGCTGGTTACCATTCATAGATTAATGGGATCTGTTGTCCTCTATAGCTAGTTGCCATTGCTGAATAATCATGGACTGAGTTACAGTTCTTTAGAATTATAAAGAAACTGCCCTAAAATCATTAGTCTGTATTGTTTTAGAAAAAAATGTCATGTCCCTTTAAGAAAAAGTATCGGTATCAGCGAGTACCTCAGGGAAGGTTCTTGAAAAAAATGGTATCAGGACCTCCCTAGTTATGATCAAATCAATTTGAGCTGCAAGCTCCCCATGATAAAACTGCACAGTTTGAACAAACTGGAATAACAGAATACAAAAAGGCATTTTTTTTCTTTTTGGAACGTTGAAGAAACTTAGGGATTCATCTTCGTTATGTGAACATTGGCAGCGTCTGGCATTAAACATTTATGTGTAAACTATAAAACTTAATACCTTGATTCCTGACGGGGCTGACAAAGTTGTATCCAGCAATATTTCTCCAGTCCCAGGAATCAGGCAGGCCCTGGTATTTCTCATCCATGGGCATCGGAGCCAGAGGTGGGATGCTGCAATAATGGAAAAGATCTGTATTGACTTCATACATCAAGCCCAGCCCGAAACAGTTTTTAGCATTGGATATAGAGCGGGAAAGACCTATATAAAAACTTTATGGAATTTTTTGGGGCTAGATTTTCACTTCCTGTCCCTGTAATGCCCATGGAAGAATAAAAGCAGACACCAAAACTTTGTCAAAAGCATTATCCCTTTTTCCCCAGTGCAAAGGCAAAACAAGCAAAGTGTTTCTGTGCCCTTCAATAAATGCAGAGAAGAGAATTTCACAGTAAGCACAAAATCATTCTACTTTCTTCAATTTATTTAAAAGGAGAACTATGGGGCGAGTGATCTACACTCATCCTCATAGGTAGAGCCGACGTGTGACAATGAAACTGTCACATGTCAACTCTATATATCAGGAGGTGAGAGAACACATACATCACTCACTCACTTCCCAATCATCTCCCTGCAGAGAGCGGTGACCGTCAGTCATTGCTCCCCACAGGGATTCCCCCTCAATCCCTCCAGTGCTGACTGCGCAATCTGCCTGGCGCGACTGGGGTACCATTCGAAAAATAAAGGCACTGCCAACCCGATCTGCAATGTGCGACTTCCAGGCCACTTACATGTGTACAGCCGCTCAAGATGACTTGTACAAGACCGCCAATGAACAGTTGCACAACATATTGAGGCTACAAGCATTCACACACAAAAAAAAAAAGCTTACATACCTTGGGATTCTGGATTTACGACCACCAGCTCTTTTGAGGAGATCCTCCATAGACATGCCTTCATATTCGGGGTACACAGTTGCTGTCCATGATTTCTGAACAGAGTTTATTTGTTCTACAAACGCAGGGTTGTGTCTGTAAGGGGCGCTAGACAGTCTGCAAAAAGGAACAAAAAAAGAAGTCATAAACTAAGAAAGATACAGGAGTAGTCTGGTCTAGTTAAGGAAACATCCAAAAACACCTAAATCATAATGCTCCACTTCAGTAACTGCAGCCAAGAAGTGGTGCGTTAATCAGTAAATTACTGCCGATATCCAACTATACACAGGGGCTGTCTGAAGACAAAGTACACTTCAACCTGAAAATCAACTGCAATCACAGCTCCGGGATTTATTTATTTTTTTTTAAACAGGAAAAACCAATGGGAAAGAAACAAAAATTTGATTTTGTGGAGGCATCCTACCCCAATATCACTATACAGGGCACCCCCAGCCCCAACTCACCAGCAGATAAGCGTTTACATTGCTTGGGAAATTCTGCCCATGCAAGCTTATGATAACCAAGATACGAGTTTTCCAAACCGGTCCTCAGTGGACCAGTAACAGGTCATGTTTTCCAGATAGCCAATTATACACTTTGGAGACGGTGGGGCATTACAATACTTGACCTGTGAAATTTTGCTTCCCCTGAGCTCAGATCCTCCTAATACACATTTTGTAACAAATAGCTTTCTGAATACTAAAACAAATAAAAGGAAGAAGGTTCTCTGCAAAACATGAACAAAGTCTAATCCCCCTAAAGCTGCTGATCCTGCAAGTTGGAGGTGTTGAGCTTTGATGTAAGACATGGACCTGTTACTATTTAACCATCAGCCAGGATGAAGGTCACTTTAAATTAGAATACCACAAACCAGTAAAACGTCCAGTGTTTATACATGATGGAACTTACCGTCCTGTGTCACTGGGGAAGGGCGCTGGATTCAGTTTCTTCCCAGAAGATTCACTTATTTTCTTCCCAACAAAGCAAGCCCAGTTGCGCCCCAGATCATCGTGTACCCAGCCGGGGAAAGTATCATGGCAGAAACTGGTGACGTTGGAACCGTGCTGCTCGTACTGGAAGGAAACGCATTATGAATAACAAATATACAAGATTTCATGAGATGAAAAGTTGGGTGTCTGGAGGCACAATTTGAGGCACCCTCATGCGTCTTTAGGTGGCCATACACTTGCCGATTATCCTCCGATAATCGGCAGGTGTATGGAAGGCGTGCAACCGTTTCTACTGCATGGTCGTAACGTCTTTTGCCTTCCGAGCACGCTTGAAAACCTGCCAAAAATCGTAAGACTTTCGGCGGGTTAGTGGTGTGTCGGAAGAGAAATGCCGAACGGGCCGGTGTGCGCAAGCGCACACTGCCCGCTCAGCATTGGAATCATTGGAAGCCCTCCCCTCAGCGGGGACAAGCAGATCGCACGTACAATCTGCTTGTCCAAGATGGGCAGATCGTACAAGATTTTAATTACCTTACAACCATGGCAAGACGAAAGTCGTGCGATGGTTGTAAGGTGTATGGCCAGCTTTTGGATGCAATGCGGCTTACTGGACTTCAGTATAGTAGGGAAGCCCCTCCCCCCTTCCATTAGGCAATGCGACAGGGAAAGTGGAGGCATCTGCATCAGTATATACACCTTCAATATATCACAACAGAATAATAAAGTTTATGTAAGCCCAAATACTAAAGTAGCATAAACAGCTCCTCTGTCTCGTAAGGCCCCTTTCACACGGGCTGATCAGGAGAAGATCCACCACTGTGGCATCCATGTCCATACAATTTTATCCTCCACCTTGTGATGGGAGGATAAAATTGTATGGAACTGAAACTGGCAGACCCCCATGTCAGTCTATGGGGAATTGGATGGAAGCAGGCAGGTGTCCATTTACATCAGATCTACCTCAATCCAGCACAATCAGGTCACATTCCCATACGTTCTTAGACCTTAAAAAGGTCAAAGCTCATGGCCGTCTTAAGGTGCTCACCCACCTGCCGATTATCGTACGATAATCGGCAGGTGTATGGAAGACGTGCAACCGTTTCTACTGGACGGTCGCACGTCTTTTGTCTTACGAGCACGCTCGAAAACCCGCAGAGAATCGTACGATTGTTGGCGGGTTTGTGGCCTGCTCGTAAGACAAATGCCGCACAGGCCGGTGTGTGCAAGCGCATACTGCCCATTCAGCATTGCAGTCATCGGAAGCCCTCCCCTCAGCGGGGTGGGCTTGCGATCATCGCAAGTACGATCTGCCTGTCCAAGCTGGGCAGATTGTACGTTTTTTTTATTACCTTACAACCATCGCAAGACTGGTTGTAAGTCTGGTGTATGGCCAGCTTTATGCTGGTTTCTCTCTGGTGCACCAGTAGCCCAGCCACCAGGAAAAGTAATTTGGATAGCCGTAGAGCCGCCCAAGCACTTTTACAAGACTCATCAGGTGAGACTTGTTATAGCAATCGAGGGAAAAAACTAAAAAACCCCATGAACACACAAGCACCTAGACATGCATGTTAACGATTGCACAACACACATTTGATATCACTATACATGTCAGAGTGAGCAATTATAGCGTCGCCTATTCAAAATGTTGGTAATCATAATTAAGTGTACACAGTTTTGAGACTCGACAACTTCGGCATCTATTTACTCAACCCAACTTCATCTTTTCTTTTGTATAAAACAATCGGGTAATCTATTGTGTTTATGGGAACTTAAATGGACTGAAGTTTGTTTTTTACTAAAAATATAGATTTGAAAAACAGTTGTGCAAATATTGTGCAACATAAAAAATTGCAACCATCATCTTTTTATTCTTAAAAACCTTCA